AGCATAACATGTATCCAAATCAGAGTGGTACTAAATCAAATATAAGGCCATGTACACCAATTTGGGAGCAACAAGAGCAAAAAACTGCTGAAATAAACCAAATTAGGAGGAAAAGAAAGTTACTGCAGGAAGTAGATAGAGAGACAAGATACTAATAACAATACAGAAAACTATATATAGAGAAAAGGTGGGTCGTACACCAGCTGAAAGTTGATTAATGGAGTAATAGCCATTGATTACTAAATTTCTTACAAGTAATTTTTTTACTACTATATCCAAAATAGTTAATTTCTCATAATCTGGATTTAATATAGTTTGGGCTATAGCAATTGCAAATGCAATATTTTCTGTTATTGTATCTGCATTAGTCCAAATTTTCTTTAATGTTCTTGTTATATATGTCTCTTCTGAACCTTCTTCTATTTCTTCAAATAGTAATTTATAACATTCTTTTGTTTTACTTGAGTTTTTCCATAAACATACTATTTCTGATGAAGCTGTATTATTTATAGGTTCTAATAATTTACCAAAAATGAAAAAAGTCAAATTCTTTATCTTGTTAATTAATATTTCTCACAATGCACTAATTTTTTTCAATAGCTAAAAATATAATAATTTAGTAAAATAATCATTTTAATATAATTCAAATTGTTTCGAATTATATTAAAATAATTTGAATCAATTCGAATTATTTTAAAATAATTTGAAATTATTTGAATTATTTTAAATTAATTTGAATCAATTCGAATTATTTTAATATAATTCAAAACAATTTGAAGCAATGATAATATAAAATTAAATAAAAAGGTTTTACTGGTTCATAGATATTATTCGCATAATATGCATTCTAGTAATCCCAGTCGATCAAAATTTTTCAACCAGCAAAGTTGATGAAATTTTATTGGCTTAGTCAGCTTAGTTGAAAATTTTAAATGAACTATAGTTTAAATAAACTTCCTTATATATTTATCATTTGTAGCATTTCAATTATATTTTAGACAGGTTAATTCAGTCAAATCCAGATTGAGTCTATACTAGATTATTTAAAGTTAGTTTTGGGTACATCCTTAGTCCATTATTTAAATTTTTTGACCAATCCAAAAAATAATCTCTGGTTTGAATATTTGAATTCTGAATTAAATCCAGATAGCTATTTGTAATTACTATATTAAAATGCTCACAATTAATCATTTAAAATTATTATAATTACACAAATTTAGCAATTCAATAGTTTATTAATTAGAAGATGCAAATATGTCATATTTATGTCATAATTGTTTTTACTTGATTTTGATATCATCTTTGTGCAATTGTATCATATTTTGCACAATAAATTTTAATGAAAAATCATAGTTATTAGTGATTTATCAAATATAATAAATATTTAAAATATCACTAAAATCTAATCTGTAAACCCAAAAATTTAGCTTGGTTGAATTATCTCATATTTTACATGAAGTCATATAAATGCGAAATATATATAGGCTTAACTCGCATAAAGTATATCTCGCTCTAGAAATAATTATCATAATATGACTTAGTTTCTACGCTTTAAACATAAATTTTACTGTATCCAAATAGCTTAAATAAAAAAGTAAAATAATAGAATTTATAGTTGTGGTTAAATTCTGAATATGAAGAATAACACAAAATGGGTAAACCTGCACCAATGGCTATGCAAATGAAAATAATTAGTATAGAAAGTTCAAGTAAAAAAGATAGGCATCTTACAACCCAAGCCCAATTACTACAAATTAATAAAAGTTTTTTAAAAAATTATAAAAAATATAATAATTCGAATTCTAAATAAATAAAAAAATCATTTACTTTATATATAAATTCTTGTTCTGAATTCTTTTTTGCTATTAGCATTTAGTATATAAAATGTCTTTGCAAAATTTCTCTAATGATGAATTATTGCTTAATAAAGAATCTTCTTGGTTGTCAGATAAAGAACTGCTCTTATTATTTGATGAACAATGGCCTTTATTATCAGATAATAAACTATTATACTTAGATGATGAACTTTTTGTTGATAGCATACCTTTTTCAGATAAAGATAAAGATCCATGTAATTCTGCTCAAAATACAATCTCACAAGCATTAAAATCACAAAAAAATAAAAGAAATATTAGTAAGAAACAAAATAACAATATGAATAAAAAAACCAAACCAGGAAAAAGCTAAGTATGGTGTTATATGTTAAAAGACAAAGTTGCTAAAAAAATTAAATGCTGTATATGGATTGGTGATGATAATAATCTTCAATAGTGCCCAGCTACATTCAAATTAACAAGTATTACAAATTTAGCTGATCATCTTCGAACTGAGCATAGATTAAATCAAACTGGTTTGCTATTACCTTTAAATAGTAAAAGAGAAACAAAACAATTACAACCTGTTAAATTAGATTCATCACAGCCCACATTATTAAAGTTAGTTACTTGCAAAGTACTATTGTCAAAAAAAAAACAGAAAAGAATTACTTCTAGAATCTTGGCATGGTTAATTGATGATATGCAACCTTTTAATATTTTAGCAAATAAACGATTTCAGAATATCTTATATGAAGCAGAACTACAATATCAATTTCTATATGAAGATATATTTAAACAAAAAATATTTAGTTCAATGGAGTATTCTAAAAATAGCCTAAAAATTTTAATTAATGATACATTAGAAAGTTTTGCATTTACTACAGACTTATAGACCAAAGCTTACAAACCCTATATCAGAATTACTGCATATTGGCTTCCTTCTGAATTTGAAATACATAAAGCTTTACTTACAATTGAAGGTTTTCTATATCTACATACATCAGAACACATTGGAGATTGTTTAAGAAGAGAATTAGCTAAATAGGATTTAAGTGACAAATGCATAGCAGGTGTAACTGACAATGTGAACTCAATAGTAAAAGCATTAAAAGATATAGAGATCTTATATATTCGATGCATAGCTCATACCATTCAACTAGGAATAATGGATGGTTTAAAGTATGCAACCAACCTTATAACTCGTGCAAAAGCTCTTAACTCATTTATTGCAGGAAAAGATAAATATAAAGGAAATTATGGTCAATACAACTTGAAATTGCTAAAACAAAAAACCCACTAACCACTAATCAAAATGCTTCGATTTTGGATCTAATTTCAAATGATACTACAATGAGGTAGAACTCCACATATTTTTTACTAAATTGGCTGCTTGCACTTTATGAAGTAATAAAAAAGCTACAGAGCAATCTTCCAAAAGATAAAGAAAGAGATGTTAGAAATAATGCTAGAATGTTTGAAACCTTACTTCTTAATGATGATGATTTGTTAGGAATTCAGAAACTTGTTAAATTATTAGCTTCATTCGCACATGTTACAACTATAATAGATGGAGACCATTACCCTACTCTTTCAATAATGCTACCAGTTAAAATCTTACAAGAACACCTATTTCAAAAAGAAAAAACTCTTACACACCCAACTATATGTGAAGTACAGAATGAAATTGAGTTGTTATTTGGTAAATATTGGGAAAAACCAGAAATAGACAGATATATTACAGCTATGTTGAATCCAAGATTTAAAGATTTAAATTTTGAGCCAGAAAAATTTGAATCAACAAAAATAAATTGCAGCATCGAATGAAAGAAGATATCAAAAATAATAATTATTCTTCAAAATACTTACTCAGCAATAATTTATTTACTTTATTATTAAGCTTACTATTTGAAGACACCTCTCACCAATCATGTTCTGTTGAAACAGAACATAAAATTTATTTTGACATGCCTAAAATGGTTAAGTATGATCTTTCTGATCCTCTCTATCAAGATCAAAACCCGTTAATCTTTTGGCATAATAACAAAACAAGTCTTCCTTTAATGGCATATCAAGCACAATGGTTATTATCTATTTCTGGAACCTCAGTTCCATCTAAGCGCTTGTTCTCTGATACTGGGAATATAGTTACTGAAAAACAAAATTACCTTTATCCTAACTTGCTTTTTCTAAAAGAAAATCAACAGTGTTTTAACCTTTATCTTGATTTAGAGTAATTTTTTTAAAAATAAATTCTTATCTGGATTATAATAAAAATTAAAAGTCCTGTTATCGAATATATAGTTTATACAGTTAAAAATTAAATACATATATACGTAACCCTATATCTGATATAGGTATTTTTATTGAGTACAAACTTATAAAATCAGCTAGCTAATTTTAGAAAAATCAACTGACTGAGTCAAAAAATCAGCTTAGCCGATTTTTTTAATTTTGACTGGAATCACTAAGGCATTCCACTGATTCTGTGTATATCATTTGTAATCTTCTTTATAATTTGTCTTTATATAACTATCTACTGCCTTTCTTATCTAGTCTTCTTCAAGATAAATTGCTTTGGTTATAAGTGCTTTTGCTACACCTTTAATTGTATCTTATAAATAAAATTTATTAAAAATTATTTAAAAAATTCTATTATTTTTAAATAAATTATTTTAATTTTAAAAAGATAAATTAAAACCAAAAAATTACTTCTTTAAAGGTTTTTTTCATTAGAAAAATCAAAGTTATTCTCTAATTTCTTCTTGATTTCTTTTAACCTAGTTTTCAAACTTCTTATATGCTCTTTAATATTATTTACTTCTTTTAAAATCTCTCCTTGTTTCTCTATAATTTTGGCAATAAATCTTGAAAGCACTAAAATTAAATAGATTATATAATAATTAATATCATTATATTAAATTAATCTGAATAAATTTAAATAGATTAAATATATTCAAAACTATTCGAATCTATGTAAGTACTATAGTAGTAGATTCACTTGTCTCAATTCCAAGAGTTTCGATTTTATCATAAAAGCTTTCACTTAAATTAGTTCTATAGGTAGATTCAAGAGTTGGTTTTTTGTTAGTTGATTTTTTTTGAGATTTTTTCAAACTCTGCTTTGAAGCAACTAAAAGACTTTAAAATATTTCTAAAATAATATAAGTTATTTTAGCTATATGTTTATTTATAATATTTTAATATCTACTAAAATATTAATTTATAAACTTA